GAAACATTCATATGTCCGTGACAGCATTATTGCTTATGCGATGAATCAATCAGTATTATCTTTCTGCGCACTTCTCGTCTGTTTTGTTCGAATTTACGTGTCCACGAGGAGACAAGAGGAAAAAAAAGATTCCGCGTTTAGAAGGCGCACGGATTCGAAAGACGTGCCACGACAGTGCCGTGTCTTTGCATTCGATTCATTAGCAGAACGGTGGTGGTGGGGGTAAGCGGGGAACGTCGGGTATCGCCGATAGACGGCGTGCGGCGGAGCAGTTCATTTCTGTAATGGCCGCTGTCTGGCGTTGTCGGTGAATCGGTCTCTTTTGCATTTTCGCGAACAAGAGAATTGCACACCGTAATCGTTGAGGAGAATTCGGTGCGGGGCAGTCCACATAAGACGAGAGGTGCGGTGTTCGCTGGTGCATGGTGTATTGTGGTGCGATAACGGCGACTCCGCGACGGACGGTCTGTCGAGAAAATTCAAATCGGATGTGCGCTGGTGTCCCACTGTTTACTCACTCTGTCCACCGCATACAGTGTTAGGCAGATGAAAAAGATCGTGCTATGTAACAGGAATAATCGCGAATATACGATATGATATCGACTAACGACGAACGACGCCGTATCGTAGCTAAGTCGCTCGGTTCTATCGAGCGTAGTAGCTTCGTCCTCGGACAGTAAACAAAAGTGACAGCGTGTGTGGATACCGTTCGGTCATGCCTCCCGTCTCGTCGGTGACTGTCGACAGTATTTGACGTGTTGTTCTTCTCGAGTCCCCGAATTCCCTCACGTGGTTCAAGGTCTTCTAAAATCATCCTAACGCCACGCTGCCAACCAGACCCAGCGAGTTTCACGCCACTTTCGCGATCGAATGGATCTCGAGCGTGTTGTTTCTCACTGACAGCAACATTGACCGCGCTTTTCCCGGTTATCGGTCGCGTTCTCGTGTCTTCTTCAAGGACTTTCGTTCCCGGATTTTTCGACACGAAGGACAAGCAACATCTTCACGAAGCTTCGGAAAGAAAAGAAAAGAAAAAAACATACACCTAAATCGGATACATCGTTTCCATTACTGCAGGTACGTCGATTCTTCTTTTTTCATTCTTCGCTATCGGTGGTGCGTCGAATTCTAACATCTACTCTTGTCGTGTTTTCCTTCGGTCTAATGGACCGATGTAATAACCGACCTATAGAGCTATAGACCGAGAATAAGCAGTTTGCATGCTATACTAGTAAACGACTCTCGGTTGTTTTTCTGTAATCGTGTGCCAAGGGTACAGGAATTCTTTACCTCGATGCAATCACGCGTATCTTTTATCGTGTTTTTGTACCATTGTCGCTGATTAAAAACCACTCGCTGTTTCTATGCGAAATTAATCTGCTTCCTATGTGTATCGTTTTATCGACGTCGCGGTAAATGTTACAACAATAAGGTGTTGCTCGTGGGCTATTCAGGCCAGTCGATAACGCGTTACGTTTTCAAAACTGGGACAAGATATACCGAACGTTGTGTGTGCCGACGAAAACACATTTGTTTTTTTTTTTTCTTTCTTTCTCGCCCCGTGAAAAACGTTTGTGCGCGTCGGCCCGCAGCGCCAATTAGACATAGAGCAGAGAGCCCGGCCACTGGTAATTGTGCCGTGCAGTTTATTGTAAATTGCATTTCTCGCGTGTGTAAACGATCATCCGCCACGAAGTTGCGTAGTCAGAAGGAAGAAGTAGCGCTGCTTTGTAAATCAAATCACCGCGTGATGTATCACCGAATGTATAAGTTCAGCCAATCAGCACATATGTATCCGCGTTATTTAACAAATCTGTCCGCATTCCCGAGAACTTGGCATGTTCCAGCCAAGTTGCACGTTTAGCGCCAAAAAACCAAAAACATCGAACCTCTTATTTGTTCTATCGTCGGAAGACTATTCGATATAAAACACAGTGTGGAACGTCATCGATCGGCGAGTGAAGTAACCTCTCGGAGAAAAAAAAAAAAAAGGAACGTGCCGCAGTGATTGAATACGGAAGCGTGTGTACGCGTATACACGTTCTCTGTTGGAGGTTTGAGTTAGGTCAGTGCGGTGCATCGTTGACGCACCGGGGGGGTTTAATCCGATAGTCCCGCGCTCTTTATCGCGTCCTACGCGTACTAAGTATAATAAGGTTTTTTTGCAATTGAAACTAGCCGTGGCTTCCGTGTACGAGCCACGTTCGATTGAAACGTGATCTATGGTTTCGCTGGCATAACGGAGATTTAATCCATCGGCTTAGAATATACGTGCAACTTTTTAATTGCAAGCAAGAGATACGCGAGACAGAATAATTTTTTCTCTCTCTTCTGTTTCAATTTTGCTCATTGACCAGTGTCCACGGGACACAGATTTCTTCCAGGAAAGCCAAAGTCTCCTCCCGTGTTTCGAGGGCGCTCGAAGAGGAGAGAGATGTGCCAAGTTTCGTCGTTGCGGACGTTCCATGTGCTTCTCGAGTTCATCGACGCCGACCGCTTGCCGCACTGCGTCCTCTGCTAGGACCATGTCCTAATCCCGACGTTTTATTCCGCGGAGCGTGATACCATTGCCAAACAGAACAGGATATAGGATCTATATATACGTATACAGTCAGTGTGACGAAGTTAAATGTGATCCACGAGATGCCGGGCCACCGCGTCAAGGACGTGCCTCGTCTTCTCGCGAGTCTTCCTGATCGAGCATACACGACCTCGTTCGTTGGTTGAGCAACGAACGAGAGAGAAAGAGAGACAAGACTGATCCACCGTGTGATGCAGCGTACAGAGGCGACGAACTTCCGTCCCGACACAAGCTGCTCGATATTCTCGCAATAACGGCGAAAAATGTTCGGCAAAGTTCCACCGTCGAACACACCAGGACCACCAGCGAGCCTCGGTGGCTCGTCCAAGTCCTGTATCAGGCCCACTGGGACCGCCTGTTTGCCGTGTTTCTCCGTCGACGAGTCCTCAACTATGCTCACCGAGGAGAAGTCCAAGCCTTGGAGACAAAAGGACACCTGCGTCTCTGTGGTGTCAGAGGCACCTTCTACGGGGATAGACGAGAAGCAGAAACCATGGAGATCGAAGGAGAATTGTAACTGTTCTTCTGTGATCTCCGAACCACCTTGTATCGCGGACGACAAGTCGAAGGCGAAGAGAGCGAAGGAAGGATCGTGTAGTACGAACGAGTACACTACGGAGGAGAAGTCTAAATCGTGGAGGATGAAGGAGAACTGTAACGTGTGCGTGGTCTCCGAGCTGTCTTCCCTCGTCGAGGACAAATCGAAAGTGAGGAGAAGCAAAGATACCGCCGAGCAGGTAACGGAGGATAAATCGAAGATTTGGAGAGTCTCGAAGGACTCGTGTACCAGTAGCGGTAGTAGTTGTACGCCTAATTTTTCACAGTCATCCGCCGCGTTCGTCTGTTCGAAGAACTGCTGCACGAAATACGCGGCGAAGGAAGCGTGTTGCAGCCACGGAAGGGGTCACACGGGTCTAGGATCAAAAACGAGCAACGTTTCAACCAGTTCAGCCACCCATAAATGCTCGTCGAACTCTAACTGTTCAAGCTTCGGGAAATGTTCGAGCAGCATGTCAGCTGGCGCGACGAAATCTCAACGGGTACTTTGTTCCGCTAGTCTGAGCAGCTTGAACGTCGACCCCAGCTCGAGGGAGCCGTCGAAGCTCGCGAAAAAGCATCCTGGATTGAGTCGAGAGTTTCTCGCGGGTAAAGAGCAGCATTTACCCGCAGGAGGAAGGTGCTCTGTGTCGCGTGAGACGCATAGAAGCATCGCGCAGGCGGGCAAATCTTCCACGAGGTCTTCCGACGCAGTGTCGAACGGGAAGAGTCGACCCGTTTCAGAGTCGAGCGACGAGCTCGCAGACTCGATGGATTTTTCCACGATTTCTGTCATCCAGTCGACTGGTGAATCCTGTCAGAAATCGTCTACCAAGCCTTCCTCTTCTTCTTCTTCTTCTTCCTCTTCTTCTTCGTACAGTCAAGAGGACAAAGATACCGTGGATTCGGTGGTGGTTTCTGTACCATCTTCGTCGAGTAGCTGCGAACGAAATTGCAGAGGAGACTTCGCCACATCCACACCGTCCAAGGACTGGATGAAAAATACTGGCGACGCGTTGCAGCAGAGTTGCATTTCCTGTCTGCCGCAAGATCTTCCAACAGAGCTACAGTTGTCTTCGCCTAGGAGTTATAGAGAACGGGAAAAGTGCCGTGATCCATGGCGACCCACCGAAATGGAAAGCAATATCTGCAACCTGAATGTGTGTCCTGGTGATACGTATCAGGATACCGGTACGAAAAGGAGGACAGGTGCTTCCTGCCAGGCGTTGAGGCATGCTGTTGCGTCGTTGAACCGATTGGATGACTTTTACATGGAGAAGATCGGGGCCGGATTTTTCTCGGAGGTCTTCAAGGTAGGACCCGACGAATTTTATGCATGCTTTTAACGATTCGACTTAAACGTAAAGAGACGATAATCGATGCCAGTGAACCCGACATGTTACGCAAGGTTCATCACGCGTTTAAAAATGTTCAATCGCAGCTAGCATCTAAACAAACACACTCGACGAATCGTAAGAAGGGAAAAGAATCGCAGATGAGCCTTTCCACGCGTTTCGTAATGAAACTGTTACCGTCTTCGCGTTATATTTCATTCGAAACGATGTTCTTGGCTCGTTTCTTGCAGCGGAATTTCCAATTAGGATACGAACAAGTACCTCTGCATAGTGAGCAGGAAAGTTTTCTCTTTGATATAACACTCTTTTCTTCGTTCTTTGCATATTTTTCAAGTTTCTCTCTCTCTCTCTCTCTCTCTCTCTCTCTTTCTCTTTCTCTATTAATACATTATGTATCGTGCATATTAGTCGTTCGCCTGGTTCACGGCACGTTATCTCGCGGGAGATTAGCATCTACGAAAGATTAGATACGACTGCGTGAACCGATCCCAAAGGCTCGTGTGTGCTCGCATCGCGAGTTCTCGTACAATTAATTCTGCCCGCAATCACGTGATTACTCGTTGGTAACGAGCGATCAGATGTTTCTTTTTCCACGAGCCGTGGGCGAATTTCATTTCCCTCGGTTTCGTTTGTAAACAATTCCTCCCGATTTTCGAGCCAGCGATCAGCGTGTCTTCACCCTCGAAAGCGCCGCGATATACACCGTCTTCGAACCGTGCCGGCTACGTATACCTGCGAATTAATCCCGCTAGAAAGTGGAGTATCGGTGATAAATTCGGCGGCGCCTGGTGTCTAACGTTTCGTTCACCTCGATTCCTTCTTTTTTCTCGTAAATTATCTTCTTACATTTTTGCGTTTCTTTTCTCCTTCTTTTCTCCTTCTTTTGGACAGTCCCATAGAAAGTGTCGACGAGACCGTAGAAAGGTAAATTAATAACACGGTATCGTAAACGGTCGGATAAATTGTCATTGGGATAACGGTACCTACTTGGAGAAAATGGCAATTAACCGTATAGAAAGCTTTCCGTATACGGTACAGCCAATAATCAATGCTGAAGGCAATTTAACTAAGTACCGGGTCGCGTTTTTTTCGCATGCTTTATTCGTCGATCGAGGGTAGTCGAACGATCGAATTTCGTTTCGTCCAAGTGATCGTTTATAGTTTCTCTCGTAATCGTGTGCGCGTTCTCGAGGACAATTTCGTGTCGGTTCAACCGGACGATTCTCGTTGTTTGCGTTTTATCTGACGGCGGGATGAAGACGTTGCGACGTAACGATACGTGGAAACGTGACATTCCAAATATTTACGTAAATCACGGTACTTCCTTCTTCCGAAGCTTCGTTAGCCGTGATTCGTGAAAAATCATCTGGTCGGATCTACGTTGGTCAGGGCTGGCTGCACGTCGTCGACTTTTTACGCACCTAGAGCATCTAACACGAGCGGTTTCATAGCTATTGTGTAAAGTAGATGACGAGCATAACAGTCTGGGTTGCTTTCGTGACAGATTATTTATTCCGTGTACGGAACTTCTTTTACGCCCGGCCAAACGTTATACATCGTTTAAACAGCCTAACGGGGCATCCGTGGAATGACGCGCGAATCTTTTCTCGTCCCCGCTCTTCGATATTCCTCTCTCGTCTACCTTGCTCTGTTCCATTATGATACCTGCCTAAAGCACACGAGTTACGCAACTTGGAAAATTCATGGAAAAATCGTGCGCGTATTTCGAACGGCGAGAGAGCTTCCCTAGAGAGAGAGAGAGAAAGACTCCTCTAAACACGGTGATAGAAACGTACGAATGTGGAAGTAGGTTTCTGCACACGGGTGTACTTTTGCAGAGTACGATGTGTCCTGGAAGGATGCTATAAGTCACAATTTCCTTCTACACTGCAACCGCTTCCTCTGTTGCGCGTTCTTCTTTCACCTCCACACATTCTCTCTCTCTCTCTATCCAGAGCTCTGTTAACCGGTGCTTCTCTTATCCGTGCATCTGGCACCGTAGAGCCGCTTCGCCTCTGCTTCTCTCGCGGTCCCATTTTCCACGCGACCGAGGAACGCACTTCTAAATGTATCGTCGGTGGAAAAAAATTGAGCGAGGTCGTGAAACGATAGTCACACGTCAAAGATACGAGTACGTATATTTTTAACCCTTTCCGCCGCGTCGGTACGCTTGAGACAAAAAGTGCTCGTTTCGTAGTGGACGAGACAGCCGTTGTTCAACGTTGACGTAGAAATAAAGATACGTACGATTGAGAACCAAGTGTTTTGAACGTGTCTGGTGCATTCTGGCGGTGCTTGATTCCCTGTCGACAGCGATATTTCATTTTTCAAGTGTGAAAATGAACGAATAACGCCAGGTTCCGTTCGATATCATCGCGTTTATATGTCTACCACGTTTGTATACCGGGTGTCCAAATTGTTTTGGACCAAACTTTGCCGTAGGTCGTTTGAAGCTTCGTTGAAGAGTTATAGCAAAAATAGGGAGGGAATGGTAACGAGCTTGCGGTTGCTGCGATACGAGACAAGAATGGCACTGGCAAAAGTTACATTCGACACCTTCAACGGCCTCAGATCGTAAATACATCTTGCATAAACAGACTAGATGATCTATTCCTATTTTCTATCATAACCGCACATCTCTTCCTATTTCGTATCACTGTTATAACTGTTCAACAAACCTTCCAACGACCTACGTTTATATAACATTTTTTTCTTAGCTCCACCCATAGAACATGCCGACAGAGTTTTACGGAGCGCACACATACGCCCTTTCTGTCGAAAGGGTTAACAGTTTGATTAAAAAGAAAAAAGAAAGAAACCTAGGCAGAAAATACGTTAACGTGTCCATTGATTTACGACCTCCTCGTCTCTCTTCCACCGGAATACACCGGATCGCGGAGGCGGAAAGTCGGTACAGTTCCGGTGTTAACCGCAGACCTGCAATTTGACATAGTTTATCAACGACTCGGCGAGGATCGCATCGATGTCAGTGGAAGCTATCGAACCACCGAGCCGAGCCCCCAAGAACCTTGACGAGAATCGTCGTTCCTCCTCGGTTAGACGCGATATATTATACATATATTGTATTCATATAGGTCAACCGGAAATTGAGTATGGCACCGCGGAGTGACGAGGCGATTCCTCCGTTGGACGTATCGCGAGCAGTGTTCCGTTTAAAAATAAATCCACCGTGTTCTCTCCGGCTTTTCCTCTCCTTCCGAGATTTCTAACCGTAGGTCAAAGTTTTCTCGACTCTCGTACAGTTTTGGTCGAGCTCCAACCTTTCGTCCTGATCCACCGCTACTCTTTTTCGTAATAACGAAGCGAGTTGGCGCGAAGCTTGGATAACAACAGGTAGCACCGGTTGATAAATCGTGCGAACGATCGTTTTGGTACGATCCCGCGAAAGTGTGTCGACGTACGATTCGAAATTTATCAGGTCGTCAGACTTGTTCTCTCGGTGGATCAACGCGAGCCAGCAGCGTTCGAGGTCGCGTCCTTGGAGGAGCAATCGTTACGCGAGAATCCCGCGGTACGAGGAATCAATTTGCGGGAAAGTTCGCAGCTAGGTGAAAGTTCCACGAAAGTCGATCGAAGAAATTGCAAAAATTCGGAGAGACTTTGATCCGAGGGAGATGGTCACCGGCGAAGTAAAGGGGGATCGATTCGGTTTGTTCCACGGAGGTCACGAATTCTTGGCACGCGATCACGTTAGCCTAGGCCAGCAACGTTTTGCCAAACTTACCACCTAGCTTTTATCTGAGAATTCGCTGTTTCACGCGATCCTATCTCGCGCTCGGCGAGAAAGAGAGAGACTGTCGTCGCGTCGTTAGCGAGATCAACTGCGCATACAGACAATGTTGCATTCTCAGTCGGCGGGGCTCGCGACTTGTATTTCAGGCGAGGAGGAATCTTATCGATCGGCGTAATCGTCGGTGACAGTGAACGTTGTATAGGAACTGGTTTCGAATCGAGCGATCATTGTACCGCTGGGCTCTTTAGAGCCACCTGGACGAGGCCAGCTTTTAGCTCCATCGAATCGGCGGAACCCGTGTTTGTCCCCTGTGTGTGACAAAAGAAGAAGGGCTGCAGCTCGAGGCAGCTGAATCTGCCTCGTGTGCACGATTGCGCAAACCATAATATTTGGAGTAACGTCAAACGTTGACGCGCTCCTTGGCTGTCGTAATTATATTAAAAACGTCTAGAACAATCCGCGGTGAGCGTGTACACGAAGCGAGATTCACGCGACGGTGTGGATATTGGTGCGCTTTCTCGAGTGAGACGTCACTCGAGAGGACTAATGATTCGAAATCCTCTCGGAGACAGGTTGAAGGATGTTTTCTTCTCGAGGTTTGGAAAAAAGGCTCGAAACATTTCAGGTATGCTAACTGGACGAATAATGGGGATAATAGGAGGCAATTGTAACGCGAAACTCGGACTCTTGGCTTTTCGCGAATTAATCATAATTACGCTCTACCTCGTGTGTATACGGACAGTGATGCTACTTCGTCGCGACACATTTTCCTCCTCGATCTCTCTGTCTCGAGAAGAATACCGACTGCGTTCTTCCTCTCGTTTTTTTCTGTCATCGTTTCTGTTCCAAGAGAAAAAGTAAACAGGCTAGCGTAGTTATAATTAAAAGGGACAGGTGGAACGCGTTCGTGTTAGCCTGAGAAATGTCCGCTCGCGAGATTTCTCTCGGTAATTTCGGCTTTCTCGATCGAAATCCTGCGGTGACTCTCAGAAATTGAACGACGAAACTGAGGCTACCGTGGCCAAAGAAAAAGGAAAAGAGCCGCGAAAGCGGCGGAGCCGGGCAGCGAAATGAAAAGATGGGCCGGATCTATTTTTGCGTCCTGTTCAACTTCGATCTTTGTTTCTCTCGCGCGACGAATCTGTGAAATTTTCAGGCTAAACCGTCCGGCCACGAAATTGCCGATTGTCCGTGGCGGTGTCTA